TACTTGGGACACCATTGTCAGAGCAGGCCAGCGATCCAGAATCTCAGCTACTGGCAGGTCATCACTAATGATCTCCTTGCGTCGCAGGGCAAAGGTGGTGTGCATCAGCTTTGTAATCAGGACATGATTCTTTTCACCTTTCTTGACCTCATCCACAATCTGTAGTCTTAGCTGGTCAAGACTATCAGTATCTTCACCCCTTGGAAAATTTGGCAGAAAGTTTACCTCTGCCCTTTTAGGTCTTTTTATGTCAGTATGTGGGGATTGCTTGCCTGGGTCATTTTTACTTCTTTTTCCTGAGTTCACAGCTACCTCTTGAAATCCAGCTCGACTCAGCTTTGCACGATAGTTCCCCATCTTAAACTTGAGGCTATTTTTCCACCCATACCAACCCGTCTGGGATCCAGGCTCCTTCAGACAAGGATGCTTAGCAACAAGAGCTTCTGCTACCATTGATACTTCCCGATCACTGGGGTATGCTTTGAAACTATGCATTTTACCAGCAAGAGTTTCAAGAATGTCATGCTTTTGTCCCCTAGACAACTTCAGAATCTTTCCTGTTCTCTCATAAGCAACATCCCCATCACCAAGTACAAGCTCTACCTCATAGGAAAAAGTAGGGATTGGGAAGACCTGAGGCCATTTGTCAACCCTGTCTGGAGTCATGGCATGGGGTAGTATTATTGTGTCATCTGATGCTACTGAACTTTCATCACTCTCTCGTCTCACAACTTTAACAACAGCTTTCTGTGGAAGCTCCTCAATATCTACAAGTGAACAAAGCTGCCCATCAAAGTCTGGGTCTTCATATGATAAGCTAAAGTCACCGTCAAGCTTGAACTTTTCTTTAATCATTTCCTTTAGCTCATCCACAGATTCTGGACGTGAGAATAAAGACAGTTTTCTCACGTTGTCCGTTGAGATATGAACATGAAGTAGTAAGGCTTGAGTAGCCATTCTCTATAGTTGGAAAGAAAGAAAAATAAGAGTAGTTACTTCTTTTTTTCACCCAGCTCTATTGGCTGAATGTGTCTCATTTAAAATATTAATCTTGCCAGTGTCTGATCAAAATAAACCTTTTTTGTGTCAACAACAGATGTCCATCAATAGTATATGCTGACAGACTTACTGTATCATTTAGTTCCGACAGCTGATACACAGAAAAGTGGTCTGTTAATGTTAGCTCAAAAGACCTTAAATGCTCAATGTACCAGCACTCGTAGTTCCTGCAAAAAAAGGAAATGGAATTGTTTACAAGCAAGAGACATTCAATTCTGCTGAATGTTGGAAGTCCTCCAACTTGCCCTGCAGAGACAAACATGCCGTTTGCATATTCTGTTCCATTTAGTGACACCTTTTGTGTGGTGTATACATTCTGGCTGTCTGTCTTGGTCTTGATAAAATCTTGTGCCACTTGATGCAAAGTTGCGACTTGAACACAAGTGACACTGGAAGCTTGTGTTTGGGGCTTGAAAAACAATGGTGCATTAAGGTGATATGCCATCATATGCTGATGCCTGGTCGCAAGTGTTTTCAAGACATTCTTGAAGTTCTTTGTATCTTGAATCACTCCTTTGAAAAAACGATGTTTCCCTTCAAATCTCATGGTCCATAAGTGAACCAGAGGACCAAAGCACTTTGTTAGCTCAGGGTAGTGCTCAATGTAATGATGCTTAGGCCTGAKCTTAAAATCAGGAAACACAGTTTTAAGGCCTTGCCTATGTTCCCTTAGTTTGATTTGCAGGTACTGGATAGATTCTTCAGTAAATGATGGAGACAACACAAGCTGTACAAGTTCTTTGAGATCCATCAATGTTGCCCATGCTTCATCACCCTCAGGGATTTTACTTCCCACCATAAGAGGTATTAATCTTAGCAAGGTGGAATTTTCATGCCCATTTCCCCCAATGCTTGGCTTGGCTGCAAAATTTTTAGGGATTGGTTGGGGTCTATCAAGTCTGTCTGAGTGCTGGTATGGAAATGTGCGGATTTTTATATTTAAGTATTCCAAAGAAAAATACTTTTTACGAATCATTTCACCAATGCACAGTGCCAACTCAACGGGCACGATCCCTTCAAAAAGATCGTGCAGTATATCTGGTGGAAAACCAGTGATGGGATGAAAGTGCTGCAGAGCCTTTCTGAGAGGACAATCATCCTTTACACCGACACTGTTTATATTATCCCCTTGTACAATGTTTTGCACAAGAAGATCATGAGACTCTTTTGTTCTCATGCTGAAGATGCCTTCAGCAACTTCAGTGGCTTGCATCTGATCTGTAGTGCAACAACAAAATCGGCAAACATTATGTGCTCTGAAAGACTGGACAAAGCCAGCAAGACCATGAGCAGCCAAATTATCAGCTGCCACATAGAGCACAGACCCCTTGATGCACTCACCAAGGGTTTCAATGAAGAGTCCTTCCTGCTCCAGAGTTTGCAAATCTTTCAACAAAGGTGAAAGAACACTTTCATAACCATGCTTCTGCAGGTCAGAAACTTTACATAGCAGAGCTAGCTGTATGACATGTAGACTGGACCTGTACTGACTTGGTAGATTGGCAAGTAGCCAATATACTGCGGTGAGTTTGTGGATCTTTCTTGCAGTACCTAAAGGATTGGCTAGCTCAATGTCATCCACATACAAAATCAGTGACAACCTCAGCTCCCCTGTTGCTGAGAGGAACCGGTTTTCTTTGAAATATGTCCCATCCTCACAGGACCTGTACACTCCAGGTGGTGATTGTTGGCGTTCTTGAATTTTATCAAGAATATCTGTATTTTTGAACATAGACTGGAGCATCTGCAATACTGGAACATATACTACTGTGGGACCAGTAGACTCTAGAGTGTACTGGACAGRCATAACTAGAGGGTAATGGCTCCTCACAAAGGTTTTTCTCCGCTTAGCAGTGGATAGCTCTGCACCTGCTGTAGTTGCATTTACAAAAACATTAGAGTTCATGATAGCGTCCACCAACTCATTAAGTGCAACTTCACTCATTGGCTGACTATGCTGGTGGAGAATGTTGGTGATCGAGTCTCTCACAAGAGGTTTGGACAGTGAAAATATCTGTAATAAATCATCAATAATGTTCTGTATTGCTGTTTCTGAAACATGGAGAACACTGTGCATTTTTAAGAAAAGGGAAGCCAAATTGTGTTGTAGCTGAGTTTGCAATTCCCCAGTGTCCGCTGTGGACTCAGGAGGATTAGAGAAAGTACTTTCCAGTTCAAAGTCATAATTTGAGGGACCAGCATCCTCACATTCAACGTTACTCTGTAAAGGATGGATAGTGGTTTCATCAAGGATAATTTCACACTTAAACCCTGAAATATCACAATCAGGATGACACCTACTTCTATGAGTATTGAAGGAAGAATACACATTAGTGCGGTAGTGACAATTTTTGAATGGACAATCTACAGTCTCGTGCTGTTTTAGATGTGTCCTTAAGTGACTGAGAAGATTTTTATCACTGAATGGTTGGTTGAACCCACAAAGAGGACACAGGAATGCTGCATTTTGATTTCCACTTTGCACAACTTTCTGAGAATGTATTCTTGTTAAATGAATTTTCAAAGCATTCAGTGACTGAAATGTACAAATACAGTCATCATATGGACATAATAAAGGACTTACTGAGGAAACATTGCTATGATGTAACCGATAATGTTCAAGCACCTTTATGTGTTTTTCAAACATAAGGTCACAAAGTTTGCATTTCAAGGCCATTGATAATTATTTTACTTGTGTCCTTTGCAAAAAAATCTATGTATTTGCTATCCATACGGTTTTCTTTTTTTTAGCCATCAACATACCAAAAAGGATTCTTTGTACATCAGCAAGATGTTTCAGCTCCACCCTGAAAATAGAGAGAAAGACAAAGTTATTTATTATTTTCCAGCACTTGGAAGCACCAAGGACACACATTTCACTCCTATTACTTATTTTCATTCTTATTACTGTAATTTTTTTTATTTAGCATATAAAATATTAACTCTTTATGTTATAGAAAGACCCCTGAATCAAGAGAAATGTCAAGTTTTTGGGAAAATGGCAGCTTATCAATTAATCGTTAGTTGATAAGATCAATCAACTTTAGATTAATCCATTAATCATTAACTTGCATCCCTAGTGTATATACTGTAATGAAAACAAATGCAATTAAATAAGTTATTAATTCAGACATAAAAAATCATAAGTTGTCTAAAACGTTATGTGACAGGGCAATAAGTTGTGAAGAGACAGACATAAGGGAGGAAGGAGCGAGCTGAGCAGAGGAGTGAATCAGCTCTGTGTTGAGAGTCCAGTCCAAAATGACTTGTGGATTAACAGCAGCATTTTTTGCCTGGATTTATGGTGTTCACAAACAATGCTGGTTACTTTTCTGAATGTTGAGGACCATTTACATTAGCTAGTAGCTCTGCTGCTGATGAGTGCTATTCTTAGAACATGTACAGACCCCGGGTCTGTGTTGGTGATACTTGCTGTAGTTAACATATCAGTAATTACATTAGTAAGGCAACCACGCCTTTTCTCTCCCTCTGCTTTGGACTGTCAAAAGCTTTCCTTTACTCCGGAGTGCAGAGCACCGCACATCACAGCCAGAAGGGCTTGGATATTAAAAATAAAATAAATTTTAACGTTCAAGGATATTTATATTAATTTCAAACTTTGGTTATGGTTAGTGTAAAAGCACAAACACAGGATATGTAAAAACAAAAATTGTCATCGACAACACAGTCAGAATAAAGTTAAATATTTGACTCTAATTAAAGATCTGATCTGTTAATTAACAGATTGAAACATCATCCATTAGGTTGAAAATGTTTGCTTTTAAGATTTAAATATTGCTTGGAGTTTGTGTGCATCTTTTCATTTAGGGTGAGGACCCACTGACGAAGCTGAAGTTGCCTTCCGATTCCAGCTTCCGATTCTGGAAATGACTAAAGGGCGATTACAACTAATTTTTCAATACCTCCAGCATATTTAATCTGCTCTAG